ATATTGGAAATAATCTCTTGCTATTTGTTCTAAAGTTCAAGATTAAGATTTTTTTCTTGGCCAGCAGAACTAAAAGGATTCCAAAGATTCATGGATGCACTTAAAGAAGACATAAAGTTGCGAGTAAGCATAAAAGTGAAGCAGGTGTGAAAAACGTTCGTCCATTTTCATAATTTCTGAAATGGCTGCAAGTTTTTAAGTTTACAACAGCAGATTCTGAATGGGTTTTTTGTGTAGTCCAGAAATATAATGCGTTTGGAAGTGAAAGTGGCAGCCCGAGCCCTTCCCTGTGTGTGGCAGTCAAATAATGGACTTATAATAAATGTGACATTGTGAAAGGACTTTGCTGGAGTCTGTTGTCATGAGAGCTGCAGGAGCTCCGCAGAAGCAGACAAGTGTGTAAATACAGACAGGCATCAGAGTCTGGGCCCATCCCACACTCGGGCACACATGACATATCGCTCATAACATATTTTACTTAGCGACCGTAGCTGGCTCGTATAGTTGTTTTTGCGTTGGCAGAAAGTGATTCATTTAGTTTGTTAATCCCTGTTCACGGGCCAGCGACGGTTCTGTAAACGTGCCAGTTTGAGATGAATATGTACCACGCAAACTATTAAAGCATTGCCTTAATCTGATTTTTAATAATTGTCAGAAAGAAGAGAGAGAGAGATTTGAAAAAAAACGACCCAAGCTCCGCCCCTTTCCTTTCTGATTGGTCTATACCTGTTTACGTAGCAATCAATCAACACATTTAAATGTTAATCTGAGCACATTATACATATACATCATTAATACACATGCACAGAGGTTTCAGAATTATCTGTTCACGTTTTCATGACAAAAAATTATGTTTTAATGCACAAAAAAGCGATTGCGGCAAACCAGGAAGAAGCTATTTTCATATTATAGGACACATCTGCAGAGGATCTGATTATGGATATAGGTTCAGTATATAAATGATTATGGACATAGGTTCAGCATCAGCGCCGATGATTGACAGCCCTCGGCATCACCTGATTGGTTAACGTGGACAGCATTGTCGATTTTGAGCTATAGCTAAGAGAAGGGAAGGCGGGACTTACCCGTAATATTAGAATTCATAAAATGACTTATTTTATATCAACATTAAAGGCCAGGAAGTCAATTTAATACAATTCTTAACATTAATAATTCTTTTAGAGTTCCAGACTATCACTTTAATTGGAAAGCAAACATTCTGTCAACAAACTTAAAACACAACAATAGCTTTCACAAAAGGGGATTGTGGCTAAACATATTTTCTGATGTATAAATGTCTCAAAAACCCACCCTTCCGGCGTTATCTGAGGGTCTCTCTTGTTCACTGCCATAAAATCCACTTATCGCCACAAATGCAAAAAGTTCTCATCCAGGAAGAAAATGTCCGCTCATTTCATGTGCAAATGAAGCAATCTAATGCGCCGCAGATAGATGAGTGCTGCTCTTTTCTTCTTTAGAGCACTCTCCGCTCGCTCCTGCAACACCTCTGCTTCAAACCTGCGTGTCCCCAGGAGACTCCAACGCCCACGCCACAAAACATGCAGCCGGCGTTACCACAATCGCAAACAGAATATTTAGAAGAGTCGTTGTAAAGTCTTATTGCATGCTTTACGGGCTGCTGTATGTGTGAGGCCAGGAGCGCTCGGATATAGAATATTAATCATTTTCAACCATGTGTGAAAATGCTATGGCCTCCCCAAAAGGTCAAACTCAAAGCAGCCTGGTCGCTCTCTCCAGAGAATCATTTATAAGTGTGGTTATTTTTGTTTTTGAATGGTTGTTGGGGGGACATTATTGATTCATGCTGTGGCCTGAGGAGGAGCGGTGCAATGGGTTTTCAAGAAACAATTTCTAGCAATATTCTGACAACCCACTGCAATGTGGGGTAAGTCAGAGAAAGACAGAGTTTACTTTACTGTCTTTTATTATACTGCAAAGCTACAGAGAAGTCACTGTCAAATCTAGTATTTATATTATTTGCTCAATATAGACTGGGACTGGGACTGGGACTGGGACTGGACTGGCCTCATCCATCCGAACACTCTGCTCAATCATCATTTCACTGCAAGTAACGTATGAGTCTGGTCTCTGTGTTTGCGATTACAATCGGTTAAATTTCGACCGACCAATCAGCGAGCACGGAAGGCAGGTGTTGTAGTTAGTTGTGGGTGACGTCAAAAGTTTGTGTCGAACGGGAAGGTCGTAGTTTGGCAATGGCGAAAAATGGGATAGTAAAGTAATCCGGTCTGGGTCTATCAAGAAACTGAAGCCGGAGCAAGAGGAATGTTTAGCAAATTTAAACGCTAGAATAAATTGGGGCGTTACTCCTCACGGGCTCTGTTAGCGGCAAAGGAGATGGCTAAAGCTAGGCTAAATGCTAAAGCTAGGCTAAATGCTAACAACTCACTCGGGCGCATTACGTACGTCACAGTAAACTCAGATCCAATGGTTTCAATCTGCAAAAGGAGTTAATCCCTCCCACCTGTTAACGGGGTCGATGGAGCAAATCCAGACCTTAGTACGAATGTAATTTGTACTATAGTGTGGTACGACCAGGCTAGGACTGGACTGAAACGAGACAAGTTCGAGTAGTTCCTTTTTTCCTTTACAATAATATATTACAATATATTCACATTTATTCTTGTATCGCTCTAAATGTCAACAGTATCATCTCAGAGACTTCACAAAACCATTGAAATCACCAACACAGATCAGAGAACCAACAGTTAAGACACAGAAATGTAGAACACATGGTATTGGTCCATAGAGAGAGGCCACATGGTATTGGTCCATAGAGAGAGACCAATGTCCATGAATGTTGATGGTCCATACATGTCCTGGATCATCAGTCTTTTTTAGACACAAACTGTAACAGACTCCTGCATCAGAGGAAAAACTCTGAAACCCGGGACTCAGACTGTAGAACGAGGACTGAGGCTGTAGATCCAGGACTCAGACTGTAGAACGAGGACTGAGGCTGTAGATCCAGGACTCAGACTGTAGAACGAGGACTGAGGCTGTAGATCCAGGACTCAGACTGCAGAACGAGGACTGAGGCTGTAGATCCAGGACTCAGACTGTAGAACGAGGACTGAGGCTGTAGATCCAGGACTCAGACTGTAGAACGAGGACTGGGGCTGTAGATCCAGGACTCAGACTGTAGAACGAGGACTGAGGCTGTAGATCCAGGACTCAGACTGTAGAACGAGGACTGAGGCTGTAGATCCAGGACTCAGACTGTAGAACGAGGACTGAGGCTGTAGATCCAGGACTCAGACTGTAGAACGAGGACTGAGGCTGTAGATCCATTATGTTTACGTAGCAGCCTACTCTTTCTGCAGATTAAGGCTTTACATTTGCAATTAAAGTGAAGGGGCTTCTTATTGATTGTTTATAGTAAATAAGTAAACCACTCATATGAAGAATACAAAATCAATAGTGAAACGATGAACCCATCTGCAGAAGGGGAGCCTCAAAATGGAAATAACCAGAAGGAGATGATTTTCCTTTGCAACGGAACGAGAAGAATGGAGCGTGGAGACAACACCGCAAATCTATACATATCTAATAGACTATAAAATACAAATCCAGGCAAAATAAGATGATATCAACATTTTGTCAACCCATAACAATACAATACCTACATTTCATGCTTCCCTAAACCAGTGTTCCCCGAGCTTTTTGAGCCATGGCACATCTTTTTCATTAAAAATATCCCATGGCATAACACACGCTGAAACGGTAACTCTGCAGCCGTTATTAAAGCAGGAATATGTAGTCATCATTAAAGGGCCTAAATCTGTCATCATTAAAGGGCCCTAGTCTGTCATCATTAAAGGGCCCTAATCTGTTGTCATTAAAGGGCCCTAATCTGTCATCATGAAAGGGCCCTAATCTGTCATCATTAAAGGGCCCTAATCTGTCATCATTAAAGGGCCCTAATATGTCATCATTAAAGGGCCCTAATCTGTCATCATTAAAGGGCCCTAATCTGTCATCATTAAAGGGCCCTAATATGTCATCATTAAAGGGCCCTAATCTGTCATAATTAAAGGGCCCTAATCTGTCATCATTAAAGGGCCCTAATCTGTCATCATTAAAGGGCCCTAATATGTCATCATTAAAGGGCCCTAATCTGTCATAATTAAAGGGCCCTAATCTGTCATCATTAAAGGGCCCTAATCTGTCATCATTAAAGGGCCCTAATATGTCATCATTAAAGGGCCCTAATCTGTCATCATTAAAGGGCCCTAATCTGTCATCATGAAAGGGCCCTAATCTGTCATCATGAAAGGGCCCTAATATGTCATCATTAAAGGGCCCTAATCTGTCATCATTAAAGGGCCCTAATCTGTCATCATTAAAGGGCCCTCATCTGTCATCATTAAAGGGCCCTCATCTGTCATCATTAAAGGGACCTAATCTGTCATCATTAAAGGGACCTAATCTGTCATCATTAAAGGGTCACATTTGTACATACTGCTCCTTTAACAAAACAAAGTCATTTGCATCAAAGTTTATAAAGTAGAAATCACACATTATTTTGACCAAGTAGGTGATAGTGGCTCATGGCCACGGCCCACTGGTTGAGAAACACTGCCCTAAATGAACTGACCGCTCCTCCCTGTTTCCCTGCACAAACGGGCCCTAATGGGTTTATTTGAGCCGAACAGCTGTTTCACATCACTGCTGCTTTTTAATGGCTGTTTAGTTTCATTTTCCCAGCCACACATTGTTAGCCAGTAATTTTCCAGTGTCAACATTGGGCTGTTGAGACACGGGGTGCATGGCTGATTCTATTGTTTATGCCAACCCAACAGCAGCGGTTATAATTATAGGTGTCCGCCACAATTATGTCTGTCAATCGGAGGACAGTGAACGAGGCAGGCACAATGCAAATGCGATCGATAGCATAGCGCCGGAGAGTAGCGCTTGGCTGAGCTCCAGAGGCCTTCACTTGTTCGTCAAAGCACGGCTGAATGCATTGTGGGTACAGTGGTATTGATCAGTCCCTTTCTCTCCGGCTTTCTTTCTTTACACCAACAGAGAAGGAGACTTTCTTGGAACCGTTTGTGCTGAAGAACCTGCTGCCCTCGACCCTGGGGAGTTATTACCGCTACACGGGTTCCCTGACCACGCCGCCCTGCAGCAAGGTGGTGGAGTGGATCGTCTTCAGCCGCCCCATCTACGTCTCCTACAAACAGGTACAGGCTCGGTCCAACACAAACACCTGGTACAGGCTTTCATGTGGGCTGGAACTATTGTGTGATTTATGTACAACAGGTTAAAAAAACATCTGATTGACCACCTCAGTTACAGATACTGATACAGATGAAATGCAATACAAATGATTTGAGCTTTATACAATATTGTTTTTTTTTCTAAATGGGCAAAAAAAAAGAAGTGAAAGCAAATGTAACATTTTGCTTTCACTTCACTTACTTCCTTTGTCATGGTCTTAAAACAATCTGGTCTTAAACATTTGCAAATGTTTGACTCTCTCCTTGTTCTCGGTCCAGTCCTTTTCTGAGCCCTTGGCATTTCTCTCGCTTCTCTCGTTACCCTTTTCCTGATGTTCCTATCACTTGTAATGTCTGGTAGTTTAGTCTTTCCCATTCTGTCAGTCTGTACGAGGACGTCCCGCTCCTGGTTCAACCGTTCTCTCCCACCTTTGGAAGGGTCTTCCATCTTGCCGTACCGTGCACTTACCCCACTGTTATAGCCTGGATCGTCTCACTATTCTCTTCTTTGAGTAGTCTACATATAAATAATGAGTACCTCTGCAATATCTTTCAGTCCAGCTTTTTTCTTACTTCTGGAGATCAACCAACTTCAGTGATAATCTCCAAAGATCCTCCCACAATAGAAGGACATCATGACACCGTCCGCCTTAGTGGTTGTTTCATTATGGCTAACTATGGCTAACTATGGCTAACTATGGCTACCTATGGCTAACTATGGCTAACTATGGCTAACTATGGCTACCTATGGCTAACTATGGCTAACTATGGCTAACTATGGCTAACTATGCCATGATCTCTCTCCATTATTGACCATAGTGAAACAATAAATGTCCTATACCGAGATGAAAGTCTTTAAACAGACTGTATCTGTTCGAGGTTAGACAGATTACACAGAGGCAGTTTCACTGACTATTGGAGGAGACATATCCTGCTGTTCATCTGTGATGTTTACTGAGAGTGTGAAGCACACAGACTGTTTTCACTTTTCTTAATACATTCAATATTCAGAGCAGTCCCTTGCTGCTTTAATCTGGCCCATGGCCAGTCAAATAACAGAAACCTGCTAGATCCGGGAGATTGGCAACTTTACAACAAGCCTGTATTTCTGAATAAGAAACAGCAAATCAAGGAAAGGCTTTTCACATTCACAAGTATCAGTCCTTCACTGTACATTGGAATAGTATCTAAGTATTTGTGATGAGACAGTGCGCAGTAAGAATCAGACACAGTTTACAAACCACACATGAATAAAAAGACATTAGAAAAATGAAAAGTTAAAGACTTTTCCATAGTTTAAGGTGTGATCTAAAAGTACATCATATTTTGGTGTGATAAAAGGTAAACAAGATTAAAAGCTAGAGTAGTCAGAGAAAGAAAGATTAAACGCTGGAATAGTCAGAAGGATTCTGACAGAAGGAATAAATCCATCCAAATGGATCTGAAAAGTGCTAAAAGCAGCACTAAACGTAGCCGTGGCATCGCTCTCTTTTTAAAGGAGCTTTGTTTCATCTTCTGCTTGTTATGAAAAATTCTTATGTTTACGAAGCCCTGAGGGAAAGCGCATGTTTGCAGCGTGGGTTGTCCAATAATTTAATGTTTCTATCATGTTTATATCTTCAACTACGAGCCAGAGTCATAAATCAATAGAGAACCCACACACTGGCTCTCGTGCCAATCCTCCGCCGAGTCGCACTAAATGAGAATCTGTGCAAAACACTGACACTGGGAATGGATCAAAAGAGCGCAGTGGAAGAAATAGCCTACTTATTATTATTTCTAGAGCGTTGTAATGAAACACCCTGAGAACAAATCTGTTTTTGTGATAAATAATAAACAGTGGATGCCGCCTTGACTCTGCATTCACCGGTTAAAAACCTACCAATTAAAACGTTGATCAATTTCTTGCGTCAGAAAAATACAACTGGTAGTTTTAAGCAAAAGTCCACAGCACACACAATACACAGATGGTGCTGCATTTGTGGATAATCCAACATTTATGAGAGAGAGCGGAAAGCCCAAGACAAACACCAGAGGATGTGATGCAAATGTTCAGACGTGGATGTAATGAAGTGTTTTTCAACCAGTGGGTCATGGCCAAGAAGTGGGCCTTGAGATTTTGTCTGCGGTGCCTTTGGGAAAAATCCAATATGACCTAAATCTTAGGTGTCAAAGTCAAGGCTCGGGGGCCAGACCATTTGCGGTGGCCCCTTAGATGATTTTAGACGATTTTAAATTATTATATAAAATAGCAGCATTAATGGTAATAGGCGACAATGGCATGTTATCCATTACTAATTTTCTGAAGAAAACAACCATAAAATTTAATTCCATGAGAAATGTTAAGCCAACATGTCATTAGAAGTTACTTTTGTTATGTTATGTTTTTTAATGAGTCTTCAATTACGTTTCTTCTTAAAGATATGAGAGGATTTCACAATTTTCTAAGGAAAGAACCGCCCTCTCCACTTTTTGAACAAAACTCTCTGGTCTTATTTGACGAGCACGAATCACCAGAATGATTGACAGTTGGGAGGACCAATCGTCTTGATGATCCACACAGAAGTAGAAAATTTTCCTAATATACCTTTAATATTTGGTCCAGTTTTGGTCCAGTTTTGGTTCCGTTTTGGTCCAGTTTTGGTTCAGTTTTGGTCCAGTTTTGGTTCAGTTTTGGTCCAGTTTTGGTTCAGTTTTGGTCCAGTTTTGGTTCCGTTTTGGTCCAGTTTTGGTTCAGTTTTGGTCCAGTTTTGGTTCCGTTTTGGTCCAGTTTTGGTTCAGTTTTGGTCCAGTTTTGGTTCAGTTTTGGTCCAGTTTTGGTTCAGTCACAGGAACTGCTATGAAATTCATTTTGAAATTAAAATATCTCTGAACTACTTTTATCAGTTAAAGAAGTATTGGAAAAGAGAAGGTTTTATTAATGCCTTTTGACGGATTAGATAGATAGATACTGTAGATCGATACTGATACGGGTCACAGCAGCAGAGGTGGAGTAGTCTCTGGGTGGAGCAGGACAGGTCAAAAGGTGGAGTAGCCGCTTGGTTCGGACCATTTTCTCTGCTCTGGTCCAAAGTAAAATGCTAAATGGTTCATTAGCAAAAAGTTAGCATTAGTCCAGTGGATTTTCACCTGATCCACTTGGTTCGGACCATGAATCCTCTCTGCTCTGGTCTGGACCAGTGTAAAACCATGAATCCTCTCTGCTCTGGTCTGGACCAGTGTAAAACCATGAACACTGTACTGCAGAAACATCTTAGGTAGAAAAAAGCAAGAAAAATATTATGTACAAAACAACAACAGCTTCAGAGCTACTTAGGACCTGCTGCCGTTAACCAGCGCATTCAAAAGTACGATTAGGGCCCTTTAATGACGACTTTACATGAAAATCTTACATATTGCTACTTTGAAGTTTAATTTTTGCATCATTTATAGCTGATGGTGTGATTTCTTTCAATAGATTATTTTTTACCACGGCTAAAAAAGGTTGGGAGACACTGGAGCAGAGGGATGTGGGGTAGCGGCCTGTATGCTGCACATGATGCTGGGTGATGCTGTGGACCAGGTTCTCTTTCTTCCCGCTCTCAGGAGGACATGATGAAAGCCTGGCCGGACAGGGAATAGCAGTGTGCCTTGTTTGGGATGGAAGTAGGTCAGTGGGAGACGCATCACGGAGGATCGATGGCTGCGCACATCCCCAGGCGTCACCGGTGCCAGCACAAGTGGACAGGCCCAGCAAGAGAACGGCCTGTTTACCCCATTTTCTGCTTTTCTGAGATGAAGAGTCCCAACAGTGGGGAAATGTCAGTGTTGCATCACCGGTTACAGAACAGTAGGAATGAGGAGCACAGAAGATACATGAACAATAACTCCATACAAAAATAAGTTTAATTAAAGTCTCTAACTCTAGCATAAAAAGAAGCAAGTATGAAGTATTTTAAGGCAAGTACCGTACATTGTGTTTCGTTTCGTTGTACAGTCTGACAGCAGCAGGAGGGGCAGACCTGCAGAACTCTCCTTCCACACAGTGATTGATTTTGAAGCTGAGACTTTGTGCTGCACCGTGGCTGCAATTAGCAAATCACAACGACTGTGATTACTGAAACATATTATTATTAATCCAAAAGCTTCTCACCCTCTGGTTTCTGAAAGTGAGAAGAAGCCGTTTTTTCCTGTTTCTTTTCTTGAATTATACACACCTTAAGAGGCAAGCTTAATAACATTTAAATCCTACATTTCTAAATTCATAATAGTTTCTTTAGACAAACTGAGAGAATCCTATTGACAAAGGAGTCCATACAAGAGAGAGCATTAAGATTAAGATCCTTTCTTTCACAACACAAAATAAGTGAGTTTAAAGTATAGCCTAACGCTATACTGAAAGAAAATCTCTGTCTTTAGCTTAATAATAGTCTGGTCTTACCACACCATTGTACTCATTTCATTTCATACTAAGGTCTAGATTGGCTCCATTGACTCCGTGAACAGGTGGGAGGGGTTAACTCCTTTTGCAGATTGAAACCATTGGATCTGAGTTCACTGTGACGTTTGTAATGAGCCCGAGTGAGTGAGGCATTTAGCATTTAGCCTAGCTTTAGCATTTAGCCTAGCTTTAGCCATCTCCTTTGCCACTAACGGATCCCGTGGGGAGTAGAGCCACAACATCTCTGCTTCAATGACATTTACTAAACATTCCTCTTGCTCCGGCTTCAGTTTCTTGATATTTGGATTGAACCAGAACAGATTATTTTACTATCGCATTCTCCGACAAACTACAACCAGCAAATTTAGCACAAACTCTTGACGTTACCGACACTGACCTACCATAACTTTTAACAATAAAACAATAGATTGTAAATAGTAATGGATCTAGTCACGCCTTTCTCCACCGTTCAAACTAATGTGCCACCCCTTTGCTTTTTGTGTCTTTTTCAAAATGGCGGCAGGAAAAATTTAGAAAAACACATTTGCGCATGCTTCACCTGCACTTGCTCCATTCCTTTAACAACTGCAATCAAAAGTCCACAGCGACTAAACTAGACTGGTCCAAAAACATACAGTGCCTTGCGAAAGTATTCGGCCCCCTTGAACCTTTCAACATTTCGCCACATTTCAGGCTTCAAACATAAATATATAAAAATGTAATTTTTCGTCAAGAATCAACAACAAGTGGGACACAATCGTGAAGTGGAACAAAATTTATTGGATAATTTAAAGTTTTTTAACAAATAAAAAACTGAAAAGTGGGGCGTGCAATATTATTCGGCCCCCTTCCGCTAATACTTTGTAGCGCCACCTTTTGCTGCAATTACAGCTGCAAGTCACTTGGGGTATGTCTCTATCAGTTTTGCACATCGAGAGACTGGAATTCTTGCCCATTCTTCCTTGCAAAACAGCTGGAGCTCAGTGAGGTTGGATGGAGAGCGTTTGTGAACAGCAGTCTTCAGCTCTTTCCACAGATTCTCGATTGGATTCAGGTCTGGACTTTGACTTGGCCATTCTAACACCTGGATACGTCTATTTGTGAACCATTCCATTGTAGATTTGGCTTTATGTTTTGGATCATTGTCCTGTTGGAAGATAAATCTCCGTCCCAGTCTCAGGTCTTTTGCAGACTCCAACAGGTTTTCTTCCAGAATGGTCCTGTATTTGGCTCCATCCATCTTCCCATCAATTTTAGCCATCTTCCCTGTCCCTGCTGAAGAAAAGCAGGCCCAAAGCATGATGCTGCCACCCCCATGTTTGACAGTGGGGATGGTGTGTTCAGGGTGATGAGCTGTGTTGCTTTTACGCCAAACATATCGTTTTGCATTGTGGCCAAAAAGTTTGATTTTGGTTTCATCTGACCAGAGCACCTTCTTCCACATGTTTGGTGTGTCTCCCAGGTGGTTTGTGGCAAACTTTAAACGAGACTTTTTATGGATATCTTTGAGAAATGGCTTTCTTCTTGCCACTCTTCCATAAAGGCCAGATTTGTTTAGTGCATGACTGATTGTTGTCCTATGGACAGACTCTCCCACCTCAGCTGTAGTTATCTGCAGTTCATCCAGAGTGATCATGGGCCTCTTGGCTGCATCTCTGATCAGTCTTCTCCTTGTTTGAGATGAAAGTTTGGAGGGACGGCCGGTTCTTGGTAGATTTGCAGTGGTCTGATACTCCTTCCATTTCAATATAATTACTTGCACAGTGCTCCTTGAGATGTTTAAAGCTTGGGAAATCTTTTTGTATCCAAATCCGGCTTTAAACTTCTCCACAACAGTATCTCGGACCTGCCTGGTGTGTTCCTTTGTCTTCATGGTTCTCTCTGTGCTTTAAACAGAACCCTGAGACTATCAAAGAGCAGGTGCATTTATACGGAGACTTGATTACACACAGGTGCATTCTATTTATCATCATCAGTCATTTAGGACAACATTGGATCATTCAAAGATCCTCACTGAACTTCTGGACTGAGTTTGCTGCACTGAAAGTAAAGGGGCTGAATAATATTGCACGCCCCACTTTTCAGTTTTTTATTTGTTAAAAAAGTTTAAATTATCCAATAAATTTCGTTCCACTTTACGATTGTGTCCCACTTGTTGTTGATTCATGACAAAAAATTTAAATTTCATATCTTTATGTTTGAAGCCTGAAATGTGGCGAAATGTTGAAAGGTTCAAGGGGCCGAATACTTTCGCAAGGCACTGTATACTCCCCTCAACATCAAAAGCATCTGGAACGTAGCTTTGGACCAAGAGCCACATTTGGACGATCTTATAAAAGACATTTTCAAGAGTAAAGAAGATGCCATTCAAAAGCATTGGGTAATTCTCGTTCCGGGTACACCCCCTCCACCCGCAAGGATTGCAGCATGTCAGCGCACATGGACCTTGAGGAGCCCCCCCCCCCCCGGATAAAACAGATTCTGAAAGTTTTTTTTTAGATTTGGGCAGAATACGGCTTTGGTAACGTGCCATATTTGCCATGCACGTTTTTAGCTCCGCCCCCAGCTCTCCGCTCGCACAGTGCTCGGGTGCCAGATCAGACAAAGACACTCCAGTCACACTGAGCTAATCCATGTCTGCTTCTCCACAGTCTCCCACAGACTCAGAAACAGGCCCACTCAGCTTCCAGCCGACACACCGCAAACGTTCCCAGAAAAATCCACCATTCCCACTGTTTATTTACAAGGAATCGACAAAGACAAATAGGTCACTGTGGTATCTGATTCTACAGTCCACGGGGGGATTCTGATAATTGATTTCACTACAAAGAGAAGAAGAATCATGAAATACATTTCTCTAATAGCCATTGTTTACATTATTATTGCACGTATACATAGACAGCACATAAATGAGGGTTAAGACTTATCTATAACATTTAGTGCGTTTTGTTTTTGTAATTATATATACTTAGCATATATTGCACCCTCTGACAGAAGCTCCATGCAGGTAAATGAACGCCACTTGGTTTTTGAAAGCTTGGGCCTTTTAACCATCTTTCAAATGGATTCCCTTCATTTAACCCACCATGTTTATTCATACACAACCTACTCTTCATCATCTCTCTCGTGTTCACTTACACCAGTCCCACTTATTATACTGTACGTGACTAAAGTGTTGAAACTATCCTGTGATGAGGTCTAATATAGTAATTTAGATCAATCAAATTTAGAAATTCAAATATCTCTGAACTACTGTCAACAGTTAAGAGCAGTTTATTATTATGACAGGTTAGGGCCCTTTAATGATGATAGATTAGGGCCCTTTAATGATGACAGATTAGGGCCCTTTAATTAGGTCAGATTAGGGCCCTTTAATAATGACAGATTAGGGCCCTTTAATGATGACACATTAGGGCCCTTTAATTAGGTCAGATTAGGGCCCTTTAATGATGACAGATTAGGGCCCTTTAATGATGACAGATTAGGGCCCTTTAATGATGACACATTAGGGCCCTTTAATGATGACAGATTAGGGCCCTTTAATGATGACACATTAGGGCCCTTTAATGATGACAGATTAGGGCCCTTTAATTAGGTCAGATTAGGGCCCTTTAATGATGACAGATTAGGGCCCTTTAATGATGACAGATTAGGGCCCTTTAATGATGACAGACTAGGGCCCTTTAATGATGACACATTAGGGCCCTTTAATGATGACATATTAGGGCCCTTTAATGATGACAGATTTGGGCCTTTTAATTATGACAGATTAGGGCCCTTTAATGATGACAGACTAGGGCCCTTTAATGATGACACATTAGGGCCCTTTAATGATGACATATTAGGGCCCTTTAATGATGACAGATTTGGGCCTTTTAATTATGACAGATTAGGGCCCTTTAATGATGACAGACTAGGGCCCTTTAATGATGACACATTAGGGCCCTTTAATGATGACAGATTAGGGCCCTTTAATGATGACAGATTTGGGCCTTTTAATTATGACACATTAGGGCCCTTTAATGATGACACATTAGGGCCCTTTAATGATGACATATTAGGGCCCTTTAATGATGACAGATTTGGGCCTTTTAATTATGACACATTAGGGCCCTTTAATGATGACACATTAGGGCCCTTTAATGATGACAGATTAGGGCCCTTTAATGATGACTCGACACGATAATCTTACATATTTCTCTTTTAAGTAAAACCTCAACTTTTTGAATCTATTTTAGACAAACCTTCTCTGTGACCTAAGTAGAACCTCCCTCAGGAAACAATTACCCGAAGCCTGCGCTCACAAATAACTGACGAAATCCTAATTATTTTCCGTGCAATAGTTTTGATCATTTGTGTAATTTGCTTTGTGTTTTCAGTTGGAGGCGTTCTACTCCATCTTCACCACGGAGCAGCAGGACCATGTGAAGAGCGTGGAGTACCTGCGCAGTAACTTCAGACCCATCCAGAGCCTGGACCACAGACTGGTCTACAAGTCTGCAGTGAGAGACGCCTGGCTGCCGGAGCTCAGCGACCACAGCGGGCCCCTGGGCACCGAGGCCTCCAAAGGTACCACACACACACACACACACACACACACAAACAGTCAGGAGGGGGAGTCTGAAAATAGTAAATAATAATAACAATGATGAAAATAATGAAAATAATGCTTGGATAATAATACAATAGAAATTAGGGGGTGGGAGTTTGAAAGTCTTTTCTTCTCCCCTTTCCTTTTCGAGATGACTTTTTTTCATATAACATACTGTATTCTTGGGTTTCATGAACCTGGCCAGTAGGGGGCGCATGAGCAGAGGTGGGACAGTGTTGCTCCCATTGAAAACCATGTAAAGTCTGTTTTGGAGTCAAAGGCTCTCCTCCTGTGCGGTGTACGGTTGTTGGAACAGTCTTAATCAGGGACACTTAATTCTAAGGAAGTTCTAACAAATATTTCTCAAAATGATTTCGGGCATTTTTGGAAAGAAAAAAAGAAGAATTTCCTGCGTTTCATTAGGGTGGCCTGCAGGGGGCGCTTATCTGGGAAAGCCTTGATCCACCTCGCCGCCTCATGCCAGTGATTGTTTCAAAGTGTCCTCCTTTATATGAGACCACAGTTGGAACATGAACAAACTCTGGTCTTTCTCTCTTTTTGTGCGGTTGCTACAAGCGTACACCGCACAAATAGATGCTTCTTCTTCTACTATATCTCAGTGTATAAACCTCTTCTTCTTCTACTATATCTCCGTGTATAAACCCGGCAGACTGCACCTCCAGGATACGTCACGTCCTGTCCTAAACGTTTGTTATTCCACTGCCCTGACCTCGTATGAAACCCAAGAATTTTTGTATATTAATATGTATTGTGTTTTTTTCTATTCTGTTCTTGTTTTGTTGTTCTTGTTTGCCATGGCTCGAAATTGCTGTTCATTCATTCAATTAATTCGTTATAAACAAACTTTTTCAGGATAACCTAAGTCTCTTCACATCATTAGTCATTCACTTCAAACACGGTGGTTATAAACTAATATTTTAACCACAGCTGCCCTGGGGCACACTGACAGAAGCGAGGCAGCCAGTCTGTGCCATCGACCCCTCCCACCACCACCAACCACTCACACACACACCAGACTCATTCTAAGCCAGGCATTTCAAAGTCAAACACTTCAGAGGCCGAAAAAACTAATTTGCTCCAAGCCGAGGCCGGACTGGTTCAATGTTTGTTTTAAATTATGCATAAAACCTCCTCCTTTGATAATTCCATGAAGATTTTTTCATAAACAAACTTTCTTAAAAGAGAAAACACACATGTCCTGAATATTAGATAAATAATATTTCTTATGTCTCTGTGCGGCCGGTTCTGTGTTGTGTGTCTGTGTTGTGTGTCTGTATTGTGTGTCTGTGTTGTGTGTCTGTATTGTGTGTCTGTGTTGTGTGTCTGTGTTGTGTGTCTGTATTGTGTGTCTGTATTGTGTGTCTGTGTTGTGTGTCTGTGTTGCGTGTCTCTGTTGTGTGTCTGTATTGTGTGTCTGTGTTGTGTGTCTGTATTACAATACAATACAATTACAATTTATTCTTGTATAGCCCTAGGTCACAACAGAAGTCATCTCAGAGACTTAACAAAACCATTGAAATCACCAACACAGGTCAGAGAATCAACAGTTAAAACACATGAAGAATATAAAGCACACACAGAAGAAAATGTCCATACATGTTGTAGAATGCTAAAGTGTCCTGATCATCACCAATCCTTTCTGTTGGACACTAACTGTCCAACAAGACCCTCCTGCATCCACAAGGAAAAACTCTTAAAAAAACCCAGTGGGAAAAAGTGAGAAACCTTGGGGAGAACTAGGGAAACCCACAGGGAGGGAGACCCATATGAGAAAGGGATCCGCTCCTCCGGACGGACAGGCTAATGATCCAGGACCTAAGCTATAGCTACAGAACGTGGACCAGTGGACGCTGAACGTGGACAGGTCCGGTGCAGGACTGAAGCACTCCCAGGCGGGTCGGGCGGGGCAGTCCGCAGGTGTAGATGGAAGAGGCCAGGCTCAGAGATCCCGTCATCGTACCATGAAACAGACAATGGGACAACGGGTGAATAGCAATGAACAAACTACAGTTAGAATCCTAAAAATGCTAAACAGATAAAGTAGGAAGGAGGAGAGGATAGTGCTCAAGTTACCATACTTCTCCCAGCAAACTGACTCCCTATGCAGCTTGACTAACACTCTGAGGAGTTTAACCTTCTCCGAGTCTTACCTTCCTAGCCATATGCTAAACTAAAGAGGACTGTTTTAAACCAAGCCTTGAATAAAGAATAACATACAGCATAATATATAACATAATATACAACATAACACAATACATTATTGAATAATATATAACATAATATATAACATAATACAGCATATATATATAATATATACACTACATATTATATATTACCTAATTATATGCTAAATTAAAGTAAAGTGCTTTAAGCCTGGCCTTGAATGTGGAGACCGTATCTGCTTCCTTAACATAAATGAAGCTGATTCCACAGTAAAGGAGCTTGGTAGCTAAATGCTCTGCCACCAACAGTGACCTTTGAGACCTTAGGGACCACCAGACGTCTGGCGTTTTGTGAGCGCAACGCTCGACCTGGTTGATACGACACTAACGTGTCTTGGAGATAAGAGGGAGCCAAGCCATTTATGGCTTTATATGTTAAGAGTAGGATTTTAAACTTTATTCTGTACTCCACAGGGAGCCAGTGGAGTGATTTTAACACCGGAGTTATGTGCTCCCTCCTTTTGGTACCTGTTAAGATCCTAGCTGCTGTATTCTGAACGAGCTGGAAGCTCTTCAAAGAGGCTTTAGGGCACGCTGCCAGTAAAGCGTTACAGTAGTCGAGCCTTGAGGTGACAAACGCGTGAATGAGTTTTTCCGCGTCACTTTTAGGAAGGAAATTCCTAATTTTAGCGATGTTCCGTAAGTGGAAGTACGCCGTTTTAGTTGCTTGGCTTATATAAGCCTTGAAGGAGAGTTCTTGGTCAAAAATGACTCCAAGATTCCTCACAGTGTTACTGGGTATTATACTGACATTATCGAGAGTAACCATCTGGTTAGTGAGGGAGTCACGCAGGCGCTTCGGACCGAGTAGGATCACTTCTGTCTTCTCCGGGTTGAGAAGTAGGAAGTTAAGAGTCATCCACATTTTAAGGTCCTTTATGCAGCACTGAGCTTTTCTAGCTGATCTGTCTGATTAGGCTTCATCGACAGATAAAGCTGTGTGTCATCTGCATAGCAGTGGAAATTAATTCCATGCTTTTTAATA